AAAAAACCCTAATACCAGCAAAAGTAGCTCACCTTTTTCAGCCTCCAGGAGTAGGAAATTAAATAAGGGATCGCGGCAGCAAAAAGAAAAACAGAGGAAAAAAGAATGGGAGAAAAACGTCGCCTCATCACTCGGCGATTAGCTGATTGTGCGTGGGTTCTAGAACGAATAATAGCAATCTGTATTGTCTCGACACTCGTCTAACGTGACACCAATCGAGGGGCGGGAAAGCGAACTACGGCAGCAACGGGGCTTCCACTAGCGCCGAGACTGTGTGAGCGAGAGGGTCCCTTCTACCGCCCATGGGGGCTCTGAGTATTCCTAAAGGAAGAACTCAGTAACCTTTTTTTTTTTATCGTGAACGGTGCCTTTAAGCAAAATGAAATATTCCAAATCGAACTTCTTGTACAGGCACTGAGTTATATCAACCGATTTCCGGATGACGTCTCGCACTTTTGGACCCATTCAGATGATTTTAGTGAGAAGATTGTGTTAGAATCACTTTAGATATGTTTTCATGCTTCTAATTTTTTGATGCCAGGTACCCGAAGATAAGATGGACCGAACTCTGCCACTGAAACAAAACAGAGAGCCTCTTAAGTAGTGAATTGATCAAAATGAAAAAAAATTGATCCATAATGTTTCCATTTTATCTTTGAGTGATTGGAATCGGATTTTCAAAGCATCCTACTGATCAACGGATCGACTTTTCACTGTGGGAGGTCTCTGTGTGGGTTGAAAGGCCAGCCGCCTCGGTTGCTTGCACCCTGAGCAAATCAATCGATATCACTCACAGCTGCACGCAAGCTCCCTGGCATCACCCCTGGCCCCAGTGGAGTTCGTTTTAATTCTTAATCTTTACAAGAATCTTTTCGGACTCCGTATTGATCGATTATCGATTTCATCATCAGTTGGAATAAGCCCTTGTCACATTCGATTTTTCTTCTGATTGGAGTGTGATCGGACATTTGAGTTCTTTAAAGTTCCAGGGCCTTAGGACTTTCTTTTTCTTCCTCTTCTGCTTTTTCGAATTCTTCAATTCCTTTTTGACTCATCAGTGAAGTTTTTCACACGTGAAATTTTCATATTACCTATCCCTGTATTGATTATTGATTGATCCAATTCTGATTTCTTAAACATCGGCTTTGTTCCAGTACAGCTTAAATAAGCTGTTATTCAAGGAGTAGATCAGTTTTTTTTTTCATGGTCGTAGGCCTTTAAAACGGCAACGGATTCGAGGAAGCTTTTATTTATGAATTTGTATTCACGATGATGATAAGTTGAGTTCTTATTCGTGAAGTTTTCAGTTTTATTGTACAGGCGATTTTTCTATCTCACCAGTTTCCTCCTCCATTGGACTTTCACTATATTCTGAACGACCTTTCATTTCAAACCCTGAATAGTTCCTTTTCAGTAGATTATTCCTTGTGGAGCAGATATTGTTTCGCTCAGTTCTACAACTTACACGCACAAAGTGCTTGAACTCGGCCTTTTCCCCATTTGGACGCGGCTAGGTTTTCTTCTATAGCTGAAATTTTTCTATTAAGATGTAAGCAGGATATTTCCATAAGTTCCACAAAGCTTCACAAAAATGTTCTGGAAGTTTCCATAGGAATACTGTAAATGCACGCTACTCACTTGTCTGCGGATAACGGGCCTGGTGATTTTATGATATCGCAGTCGATTGCCCAGTTCAAGATTCATGACTCACCTAGACTTCTTATTTCCAGCTTTGAAGCGTTGTAGCGGGGGTGCACATAAGCACATGGATGGGGCTTTAAGTCCAACTTATTGACGGAAGTTTAAAGGGCTTCAGCTGGGCAGTAGTTGAGATCGAACCCACTAAGAAGTACGAGTGGAACATGGAAGCACAGTTCGGCCATTGTGGGTTCGAACCCACAATTCACGGCAATTCTCGGGTGTCTAGTTCTAGAGTGATAATGGAAGTTATAGTTCATTATAGTGCAGAAGTAGCGGACAAAAAAAGAAAATTGGCGTATTCAGAGACATATAATGCTTTACAAATGAAGTAAAATTAGGAGTTGGACGAGAGTGTTAGGACAGAGGTTATATGGAATGAGTATTCGGACGAGCTGTCCAAGTATGTCTGCCATTGTTTACAGCATGCTGCATTAAGCTGCTTGGGTGCAACATAAGCATTTCGATGCGAATGTTGCAATAACGTCAGCTAGTACAGCGGCGAGAACTCGTCCGAAAACCGTTTCATCTGAACGATGCCTTCAAATGGCAAAGAAAAAGGAGCCGGATATGTTATGCGCTTAGTGTCATTATAATAGTAATTTCAAGGAAACTCTTTAAAAATTCCATATAGAATCTGGACTGCTGCGAAATTTTCGCACATGCTTCTCGAAAGACTCGATCTTCCTGAAAGCCCCTTAATTTTTGTATACCCATGAAAGATGCCACTGACTTTCTTCTACTCAGTGATTACCACTTACATTGGCAGGAATCCAAGTCAGCATCCCTACTCTCCGCGTCTTCATCGGCGTATCTCCAAGATTCACAATCCATTAGTATGGTCGCCTTTTCGGGTGCCTCAATTCCTGTCAGTACACTATCGGTGAACATTGACGAGCTTACATCATCAGCTGTCACGAGGTGTTCCGATTCTTCGAAGACGGTGAGGTCATGACACGATCGTGTTGCTGAATTGTGGCTGGTTTGAGTTCAGTGTAGCGATTTAACCTAGCCTTACGGCAAAACAATGCCAGGCCTGCGGAGAGCACTTCGTCGGTGAAGTTTATTTACCATTTGATGATTTTCCCCCACTGACTGCTTTATTCTCTTCCACGTTGTCTTCCTTCCATCGGTTGACATTGGCGTCGGTATCAGCCGTAGTTGCCTTAGACGTGGTTGGGATGTGGCTGCCGTATGTGGATGAGGGCATCATAAGATCTACTTGGAGATCTTCTGAATCCACCTGGCCAGACATCTGATGTCTCTTTAGCTGACGTATGAAATGATCCTTACCCTCGAGGAGACTTTTTATACATTCTACTATCGGTGATGTTATTTATCGATGTTATATCAGGTATAACCTAGTCGATATACACTACGGATGACATGGGTTAGGATGATGATGATGAGGATGAAAACCTCCTTGAAGGAGACTTTTCTTTGGCCGTCAGGTATACCGACAGGAATTTATCTTGGTAAATCTGATTGTTTCTCGGCACTCAAGTGAGTTGCAGTGAATTAGGTACCACTTCAACGCATTGCACCCTACTCGTTTTCCGCCCAGTTTTTATCCTGCTCCGAATCTCCGCGTTGTTTTTTCCGAGTAACATTTCTCGCAGTTTTCCGGGAGTTCAGGGCAGCGAGTGTAAACGTAACAAGTTCTTAGAACAGCCCAACTGCTCCTCCCCCGCCCCTTCTTCACACACCAGTGTCACCTTCTCTTCAGAGACAGGGGCAATGGTGGTGGCTCCTTATATTGTTCGGAACAAGAAGGCTATGAAGATTAATTTGTTATGTTGTCGCTAAAGTAACTGCGGATTTCATGACGCTACATTTCCCTCCTAGGCTTTCTACGAGGGCGCTAGCGATCATACAACAATCCACATTTTATTTCAATGGTCTCTCTTCCGCTTCAAGATATAAACTTCGCTTATTGCTTCACCGAGTCTTAGCGTATGCACGTGGCCTCGAATCTCTATGAATAAGCAAAATTTCCTTCGTCATGCCTCATAATTTCAAATTGGGCCATTGTACAGCCGAAGCTGCCTGCAATACCAACCGTGGTTGGGGAAAGGATTCAGCTTCAGAAAAAATCGTATAGCATTCATTGGTTTTCAAAGTTCACTTCCGGAGTTGGAAGCCTTCAAGGTCAACCTGATCGCGATCGCAAGTCCTCGCTGGATAACGAGCTAAATGCTGTCCCAGGTACAAATCAACAAGTGACACTAAAACGACGGGAGAAGCACTAAGAGTACATCATGCAACGTAGCTAGACATTTGAAGCAAATTAGAAGGGTCAACAACCTTCGCAATCCGCAACTATTTTTGCGACAATCATTTGCTGACAATCCTGTAAATGACTGCGTTGATCATCCGTTCGCTATCATTTACCTCAATTAATCTGTATTTCATGAAGAACTACTTAGCTTTTGCCAAGTTTCGAATAGCATAAATTCAGTACATACTGTTAGATGGAAGCAGCTAAAGCTCTCCGCAGTAGTTTCTGTTTGCCGTATCAATGAAGCCTTCTTCAACGGTGACAACAAGAGAGTTGTGTGGAAATGAGGATCAATGGATCTGTCACAAACGAAATCCCAGTAATTGGTTACGGTAGTTGCCGGGCAGTGAGAATTCCTGCTTGCGCAAAGTCTGCCAGTAGAGTTCCCTCTCCTCCGAAATGCTTTTGCACCGTATCAGAGTGTCAATTGTCGGAGGAAGTGATGTGGTTGAAGCTGGACTAGCTGAATTCTGTAGGATACACCGCTCTTTTGCATAGGTCAAACAATCTTTATGATCAGAGTGTTCACAATAAACTTTTCTGGTTTGCGCTGTCCACAGGGCCCGGCTTGGTCCACAGGAAGAAAAGTCAATACGGGCACTGGGCTCTTATAGTGACTTTACGGTGAAATAAAATGCATGGACGCTGAATTCACAGCGACACATTTGCTTTCACAGCACAACCCTGTTCAAAATCAAAAATCCTAAGCCGTTACAAATACGATGCGTCGAGAAGGAACCGTAGGCGAGGACACCAAGATGGTGAAGGAAAGCTAGAAAATAATGTTTGCATCACGAGTGTTCATTGAAGCCAGGACACGTAGGCGGGCTACTGGAGGAGCCGAGTGCGCTGACTAGTTGCCTCTTCAATCGTTATCCCGGAGTTCGCCACGCGGGTGCGGCAAGCATGGCATGCCACTCGAGTCCACCTTCTTGCACCCATTAACTGGGATCAAGACGCTGAGAGTCATTGGTTTTCCTAAGAATTCGTGTTGACAAACTGCCCCTCAGAAAGTGCTCATCTCGTCAGCTGTGCAAATGAAATAAACTGTTTACATCTGGAACAACAAAAAAAGAATTTACTACCTTCTGAGAACATGCTTTGCAATCTGCTCCACCTCATTCAACACTATAGATTGTCCTCTGATTCGAAAGCCTTCGCTTCCGTTGTTATTCATCGTGCGCAGCCAGAAGTTATGGGTCCTTTTTCTGTCACTGCATCGAAAGGATTTATGTAATTATAGTTATCAGTTGTATACGAAAATAATGGGGCCATTTTAGGTTACTGAATTTATCTGAACAAACTGACTGATTACTACTCTCAGCCCGGTCATTTTGGTCGCATCTACTATGGATCGAAGTCCTTTGGACTGTTACGTTTGTGCCAAGGTTGGTTTGAAATGAGGTGGTTATACAAAATGTGTTGGATGATTTTTGATGTCGTCGGTTGTTCCATAGTCGTTTGACTTTACCTGATTTTTTACAATAGCCCGGTTTGTCCAGGGGACGTCCGTTACGCGCGTCCGTCGAGACTAGGTCAACCCACCTACTTTGCGCCCGGCGCACCCCCCTGCGATCTCGAGATTACGTTACAGTACCACTCAGTGTCAGTGAAGTGATCTGCATTAACCCGTGTTGTTTTTTCTTTACGCTGACGGCCGTGGACGAAGCGTCAATCGCATACTCCACTAACAACTGCGACATCTGTCAAAAATCGTGGGCTGGGGCGCCGCGTGCGACGGCTGCGGCATGACCTAGTTTTGACGGACGCGCGGAACGGAGCGCACTCCTTTTTCGGCTATAGCCCATTTTCGAGAAAAATTCAAATGAACTAAAATAGGGGTATTCCAAAATAAACGCGTACGGAAGTGTCTACGGGGAATAGCAGTGTGTCTGGAGGCGCTGTTCACCATAAGATTGATTCTGCAATTCTCCCTAAGGCGAAAAAGCTTCAAAATAGCTTTAAAAATGGTATACTGTTCGACTTTGCCATCATAGTTTGCGCTCCTCAGGAACTATCTTCGCCTCGTATATTACCATGCCTGCATTCAATATGCTCCACTTGCTCACCGTGCTGTTCGACGGCAAGCACTCACTCGTCCAATTCATCATCCCTTCCATGCACTCCAGACCGTCTGGCAGAATTTCTCATCGAGACTTCACATGAAACAGCTGAGGTGTGCGCGAATTGTGATCAGGTCAGATATCGAAGTGCTTACCATTTTGTTGGAAATTTGGGCAGAGAAAGTTCTTACTCGAATTTCAGATCAAACAACCCATGTACTACTGTGAGACCTGCCAGCAAGCACTGTGTTATGATTGCCGAAACACTACGCATAAGGTTCGTTATAGCATTTCCTTGTGAGTTATGGAAATGATGCTGATCTGATCGGGGATAAAGGATGATGAAGCCTTTGCACTGCATCGATAATTCCAGTTTTAGGATTCATCCCCACCTAGCCTATGTGGGAGTTAGTGCTTTTATGCTCCTGGTTTGATCTCACGTGTCTAACATAACATGAGTTCACCCACCTCGGAGGTATTGGGGGTCTGGTTGGTAAAAGAGGGTGTAATCCGTGATTCGATCCCCAGCCATACATGTGGTAGTACGTCATTGGCACTGGAACTGCTTCTGTTTAGGCTCGGATGTTTTCCGCTCACCGCGTCGTCATCGCAGAGGAATCGGCACGCGTACGCGGTCGCGTTGCGTGTGCACAACACTCTGAACCTTACATACTGTACTGTACGGAAAACAAAAGCCTAGCCTGCATTCAGTGTTTCAACGAGCGCCCAGCAGAAGATAGGTACGTCATTAAAGCAGCGTTTTTTTATTCTTAGAATTTTTTGGGAATTGGCTGTGCTGACGCGAGCGATTGTGTTGCGGTGCTGGAATAGTAGCATGGCAAAAAACTGTCCCCTGTCCTTTCCACTCCTTTGATGCGAATCTTTTGCAGTGGAAAACAACCTGAAAATAGCTGCCGACGAAAGTCGGTAGATAAACCTCAAGCTGGTCGAAATTTTTGCTCAAAGATCATCTGGTCCTTATACCGCGTCACCACCTAGCTCGACTAGTGTGGGATTCCTCTATACAGTCCCTGTTCTTAGGATATTTCTCGTATAAGACGATAAACATTTTAGATAAATATTTTCAGGCACTATTTTGTTTCAATCAATACCGGTTACAAATCATGCACGGAGAAAATCGAAAAATGGGCTATGAAACTCCGACTATATCAGGTAACGCAGTGCCTAATTCAACTCTTGCCAATCGCGCATCTTTGTCTTAAATGCTGTTGAAGTAGTACTGAGGTACTGGGTCCGGTATGTTCTCCCCGAAAGCGGCGTCGCGCGCCGCACCCGATCGCGCGCTTTGAAGGGAAAAGTTTGGATTCCCGGTACAAGGATAGGGTAGCCGCAGCGTGACCTTTGCCGCTTGCCTGGAAGTTCTGGAAGAAATTTCGGCACCCCTGGGGTACTAGTTACAATTTTACGCTCTTCTGCCAGTGTCACCTCTCACCACCATGAATAACTCCTGGTTCATTAGATTCGCTTTGAGAATGACTGGCTGAGAGATCATACTCTTTCGAGGGGGGCTCAAAATAAAGAGGTCCTAACCCTTTGATGAGATGAAACTACTTCCTCCCGTCACCCAGTCATCGGTAGTCTATGTGCATGCTATTATATTCTGCTGGAAATGAGGAGTGTAGTAATAGTGTCTCAGTTGTTGTAAAGGCAGTGATGGAACGATGCTGTAGGGAGGCCCATAAATCGAGAGGAAGCCAAACAAGTAGCCAAGAATTGTCAAATTGGAAGCACTATCCGCTGCTCCATGTGGTATAAGTGCGGAAGGGTGGCAGGTTTGGATAAATTCTTGGGAGGCGGTCTTTCGGCGTGGCCACTCGCATCGCGCTGCTCATTCGACGCGGTTTCTGAGCGACACAACTCGTCCAAGCTATTCATCCTCCTAACCATGCTAATCGTCCAACTCACTGCCCATCCAGCTGATATACGCCCGATCGATGACGCCACTGCTATTATATGCCGAATTGCAAGCCTACTTGTATTCTGTCTATTTGCATCGATTAGCATGGTCAGGAGGTTGAATCACATGGACGAGTTGTCCAGCTTATAAATCGCGTTGAATGGGCGGGGCCGCGTCAAGCGACGTACACCCAAAATTCCTCTGTACAGCTAATTGTTAAGTTAAGCTTCAATCTGTATGAATGAGTACTATTCGGGTTGCTCACCGGTGGGGGTAGAAGGAACCCAACTAATGAGCAACTCCAATTGTTCTCATTCATAGAACTTGGAACTATAAGTGATGCCGGGCAGCGTAACAAGACGGATTTCATAGTTCCGTGAGTGTTACGCAGTAACGCGAAGACACACTCGAGCGCTTCCGAACACCCGTCACATATACGACGCAACAAAAAGATTTCCTTGCTCAGGCCCACGGATTGGTTGGTCTTCGGAGTTTGCACATCTATCGCACGTTCACAGGGCGTGAAATTCCTTCTACTGGCAGTGTATGCTGTCCACTACTGGTGGAGCGCTATGTGTGCGGACAGGCAGACTGAAACGTGCCGCGCTTCCCGTAGCTTCCGCCTGTCGGAAAAATCCGAAAGGGTGGTGATGGGTAGTTGGAGGGTGCAAAGTTGGAGATCGTTTGGCGTGAAGGCTGTGCTTGCGAGCACGACACTAGCGGTTCGACGGCGTGAGTTCTAGGATCGGAACATTGGGGCGTCCGGAGGCGCACGCGGCAAATGACGTTTAATGACTTCTTACATGATTCCCTTATATCGATCAAACCATGCTATGTGCTTGCTTATGAGCAGCTTCAACTCTGGACCTCGTCGATTTTCGATTTGTGTACATGCTTTATGTCTTAGTATAACCGCCAGAGCCGTCCAAATCGCCACGAATTTCACTACGCAAATCTCCGTGCGCACCAATAAACCTTTACCCCATGAGGCCACAAAAAATTAACCAAACGGACTCTCGCGATTTCAAGTCTAATACACGCCTCTTGGTAGCCACTAGTTGCTACGTACAGAACCTATGGCGGTAGGAGGCCGAATGGAACTCAAGTGGAAGAAATATTAATGTAAGGGAGGCGAAAATGTGGGAAAGAATGGCCTTAGCATAGAAATATGGCTTCTATGGCCTCATTCGACCGTCAGAAATGCGGCACAATCACGGGCACGAAGTTGCCTGCTAATACCAGGATGTCGATATAAGCCCACCAGGCGGCTACGCACGCTATCGTGTGCGCTAGGGGCTCTAGCCATGAGAGTCGGAGCCACATGAGCTGATTTTCATTATAGACCTTTATTGATTTTATGAGTTTCCGCTCAAACCCGCCTTCTGTGGGCGGAGTCTGTTCCTGCCA